TTTTCAAGATTTCTAGCAGGGAAATAACTAGGTTGAGTGGAATTTGGTGTCTAGAATTTATCTATATTGATTTCCATAGTGGTTGTGTTACTTTCTCACCTACAATGAATAAATATTTTGCCCACAGCTTTGCCAATATTTACTGCTGATTCACTGATCATAGTCATTCTTTGTAGAGGAAGATGGAATCTTGTTGCTTTAATTTGCATTTCTCTCATGACCAGTGATGCTGAATATTTTTTAATATATTTTTTGCCACTTATATTTCTTCTTCTGAGAAGTATGTATTCATTTAAGTTGCTAATTTATTGATGAGGTCTTTTGTTTTTTGGGAGTGTCTATTTTTTTTTTTTCCCGGTACCAGGCATCGAACTTAAGACCGCCTTCTTGCAAGGCAGGTGCTTATGCTGCTGAGCTAAATCCCCAGCCTCAGTGTCTAATCCTTATACATTCTAGATATTAGTTCTGTTCAAAACTGTATCTCGCCAGAGTTTTTTCTCATTCTGTAGGTTATCATTTTACTTTCCTAAGTTGTTCCTTTTGTGATGAAGATTTCTAATTTGATATAAACTCATTTGTTGAAATTTTTTTCACTTTTCTTTATTTTAAAGAGAAAAAAACAATAAAATGATGCAAAAATCTCAAAACAAGATAACAGGAGAGTAACAGCGATTATTACATTGCGTGTTGTTATCTTCAAAGTACTTGTTTATATTACAAGACAGGCATGAAAAATTGGTCAAAAAATAGGCATAAACCTTTCTTTTCAATGAACTAATAGAAATCAGTAGTATAATGTGTTTTTTCCTTTCCATTTTTGATTCTTGATGATATTTCTGGTGTAGTTGGGGTATGCATATATTTTTAGTTTACACTTTTTTGAGTCATTAAAGTCATGCTTTGCTTCCTTCCCCAGTAAGTCTATGCCAGCTGTTTCCTCCACCTAAGCAAAAAACAAACACAAATGCTAGCCTTTTCTTCTCTTGTCTTTTTTCCTCCACACACTGTGACTCTGAATTTGAATGTCTCAGCCCTGCTGGTTTTGGAGACATTTCTCCTCTCCTTACTGGGAATAACTCTATTTGGTGTTTTCAGTCAGCAGGAAACTTCTTCCCTCTAGCAAGAGAAGTTTGAGTGAATTAAACTAATGAGAACCTGTGAAACAGAACCATTAATAGACTCATTCTTTTTCTCTATTAATTGGCTTAATCATTAACTATTTCTGAGACTCTTTTATGGGCCAGGAATTCTGGTTGGTGGACATCGGCACAGTTATGAACGGGGTCAAAACGCATCGTGGAATATTGAATCCTATAGTGCAATGGAAAGAGACACTGTGCAAAACACATATGGACAAATGATTTAGAATCGAGACATGAGCTATTTGGGAAATGTACACAATATAGAGAGAGGCTATGACAAGATGACCCAGTTAGTCTAGTGAAATCAAAAGAGGTTTTACTGAGGAGGTAACAACTTTAATTTGAAAAGAAATCAGTAGAAATAGAATAAAAGAAATAGGTACAAAAGAGAAAAGGAGACCAAGAAATCAAAACTATAAATTCTATATTTAAAACCATAACTTCTGGGATCCAGCCAGTTTCCCAAGGTGATCTCTATCAGCATTTCCTTGGTAAGATTTAGGCTCCTTTTCTTCTAGACATATCTTACTCCAAATTTTTCAGAAATATTGTAAATCCATGGGTTGGCTTAATTGAGAAAAAGAAAAACAAGAAGCTGACTTAAAATAAAGGACCAGGTTAAGAGAAGTTAAGAATGCTTAGATTTCCTACTTAAAAAATTGGGCTCACACCTATGATATGGGTCCTAACCCTTCACTCACCCCTTTTCTTGAGGGCTCACACTCAATTTCTTGAGTTTGTATATATTTTTGGCTAATAAAAATCTTTGCTCTCTTACTGATTAGTCCTGAAATTCTCTTTCCACGATAAGTCAGCAAACCAGCAAAACTATTCTATGGATAGAGAGGGTTAGGCTCCTTATCTCAGCTTTGGAAACTTCCTAGGACTCTATCAACTGACAAACTGAAGCTTACAATCAAGTGTATGTGTGTGAGTGTGTGTGTGTGTGTGTGTGTGTGTGTGTGTGTGTGTGCACGCACGTATGTGTGCCTCCATCCAGGTACAAAGTACTTGCTGTAGAAAGTAGCTAGATACTTTAAAGAACTGAGAAAATGCCACTGTGGTTGAATTATGGTAAGACAAATGAGGGTCTGGATATGAATAAGATTGGAGAGCCAAGATTTTCTAAACCACCTTATGATTTTTAATTTTTATTTTAAGAGTAATGAAAATTCATTGAAGGGTATTAAACAGGAGCATTACACATACATGTTTACATTTTTCAAAGATTATTTTAATAATTTTTGAGGTATAGATTGAGAGGCACCAACAGAGTGTACAAAGAGACTTATTAATGAGGGTGTTTCACTCATTCATATGTAAATGATTACCATTCCAGTCTAGAGTACTGTTTAGGATAAATAGAATTAAAGATTCAAGAAATATTTAGAAGATTTAATTGAAAATCTTGTAATTTATTAGACAAGGAGGGGTAAAAAAGGAAGCTGTTAAATGAGCTATTATGTAAAGCACTGCACCATTTTCTAAGACAGTAAACACTGAAAGAGAAGTGAAACATTAGGATAAAGACCAGTTATGGTAAGGCGTTGGACATGATTGAGAAGCTTTTAAGAAATCCAGTAGGAATATGTCTTTTCATGGAGGAAGTGGTGGAAGAAACCGAAAAACAGGGAGTTAGTTCTCCCCAGCAGAAAGATGAGGTCGACTATCGAGTCTGTACAAAGACAAAAACTGAAGACAGGATTTTGCCATAGCAACTTTTTGGAAAAGCTGTTTCAGTGGAATTGTGAAAGAAGGTGAAAGAAAGATGGAAACAGGCTAAAGAGTACACATGTAGGAATGGGCAATCATTTCAGGAAATTTTGTCTTGGTGGCCTGGAAAGACTTGGCAAAGAATGTGACCTTGTAAATTTGTTTTCTAAGATGAGAGAAAAACTGTTTTGTTTGAATGATAATTGAGAAAATCAAGACACACAGAGAGAGAGACAGAGACAGAAAGAGAGAGGAATTAAAAATACAACTATAAAACAATAATTGAGAATATAAAGCTCCCGAGAAAATTAGAGGAACCCCATATATAACAGATCCTGATCCTGGAAAACGAGTCCTTTTCAACTTCTACAATTGTGGTAAATGAAGAAAGGCAAGAATAAGGACATTTATCCTATCCGAAAGCCAAAGAGTTTAACCTGTATATGGATCCCAATCCTTTTCTATTTAGAATTTCTTCCTCTGTTGTCAACTCTTAAAAGTCTGTTTTTCTGCTGCTCTTGGGTTTAAATAATCTTTCATTTTCTATGGATATTGATAATTTAATTTTGTTTTTTCTAATGCAAAGATACCTAACCCCCAGTCCATAGACCTGTATTAGAGTGTCATAGGGGCCTGAATCCTATTGTGATCTGTGCATGCGAGAGATGCATACACATTTGAACTATCTCCAAACCATCATCTCCGCTCACCCTTTGCTTCTTTTCAGGTCTGTGGAAAAATTGTCTTCCATGACAATGCCAAAAAGTTTGGGCAATCACTGTTCCTATAGCTCAAAGATTTCTGAATCCAGATTTTGTTCTCTTCCTATTCCTAAGGACTTAATATTTCAGATGAATCCTTGCCCAGTAGTTTCTTTTTAGTTATGATTCTATTTTTTTTTCTATCCTGTGCTGTAAACATTGAACTTGAAGTTTCCAGCCTAGATCAGAATCTATGATCCCTATTTGCTTCTGATTAAGCTTCTAATTAAATGAATTAAACATTCAAATTTCAGTTTGTCTGTGCCTGATAATTCCTGAAATATAAAGAATAATGAAAGTAAGGTATATTTAGGCATTAGGAATTGATGGTGAATCTGTAAAAGCAAAACAAATTTAAATATCAAACTGAATAGTTTAGACTTTATTCAGGAAAATGTTAAAGCAGAACATCAATTTAGTTTGTTTATTGCCTCTGCTCAATATCATCCTGCACTGCAGTGTGTGCACTTGGAACTCAATCAGTTTTAGAGCTGATGCATTTTAAGTCCCTCAGGATAAGTAAGAACAAAGATCAGAGGTCACTATAACATCTCTGGAGTCATAAACCTGGTTTTGGAAATATACTGAAAGACTTTGAATTAAAAAGAGAACCATCACAATTAAAGCAAGTATGAAAGAGAATAATTGATGAGGTGTTTGCCAGATTTGAATTAATTAAATGGAGCTTTAATTTATAAAAGTGCTGGTTGCCGCAAAATGGAACCATTATTCTCCAATGCAGTGAGACAAAATGTTATTCCATTATAATTCATTTCACAGGTCCATTTTCTCAAATTTAATCTATTTGCAGGGGTAAAGTTACAATGATCAAAATGCAATACATATGTGTGCTAATTCCTTAAAAATGTAAGTAACATAAACAATTCCTATAATTTTTAAAAAGAATAAAATAATGTCTGCATTGCTATCAGGAAAACCATTCCTTCATTCTAAAAAAGTCAAAGAAATTGTTCCCACTTTTACTTGGCTTCTGTGTTCTTGTCTTTAGTATTAATAGCATTTGAGGTAAATTAGTCCTGGAGTAAAAAAAAAAAAATCACACAATAAATAATAAAAATCTAAATAACAGGATTCCAAGTCTGTGCTTTCTGTTTGAGCATCTGTTTGGGTACCTGGCCATGCATAGAGGTGTCTGCTTTTAGCAAATGGGCCCATGTGAAATGTATTGATTGGCTTCTTCCTGCCATTGACTGTGTAATTACCTGTCACTTCTCCAAGTTGTGAATCATGTTGACAGAATGCATTACATTTTATGATTTTTTTCTTTATATAGATTTGTAATTGAAGCGTGCTTGCCTTTAAAAGGGAACTCTGCTGTGTTGTACAGACATTTGAAATATCTGTCTTGACCTAGATAGTGAGTTTATCTGTTAGCATAGAAGAATTTTAACATGAAGGTCCTTTCAACTTCTCTTTGTTTCGGACTTCTACCTTTGTTATCTGTAGCAATCCTTCTGGAATGTGTGCGTGGACGACCATATCTTGCCGAAGGTACGTGCACATGACTATCAGACAGGTGTGTAAATATTCCTTATTTTCTGTGTGCATCACTTTGATTTTTTTCTGTCACTAACGAAATAAGGTTTTAAGACAATAACTTAATGACCTGACCTCCTTAAAATATTTGTTGTTCTGAATTCAATATATGATGACTTTCTTGTCAAATAAATTGTACCAAATCAATTTTATCTAAAATTGTACTAAGTCAATTTCAGATACACTTTAATTTTTCTAATTACAGGGCATTTGTTTTTTATTTGCACTGTGCAACCAATTATCAGGAATGCTTAAATAGTAATACACATAAATATAATCAGTACACATTGCAACGTTTTGTCTTAGAGAAAGAAGTAGGTTTGTTTTGCCTTAGTAAATTACTAGTAAATTATCCCAGAAAGAGAGCATCTAAGAGCAAAATATATTGAGATAAAAAATGTGTGCAGAGATTTGAAAATATTAATACATGGGGAAATCTCCACATTGTCTTGTAGGAAGGCAATACATTTTAAATTGACTGTATTTACCATCAGATTTCTGTCAGATTTATGGTACTTAACTGAAGTAAATAAATTTATAAATTCTAAAAGAATCTATAAGATGATAAAATTGATGAAAATAAAGTTTTGCTCTTACCATTTTTGATCTTCTAATACATTTCAAATATATTTCATAATAGAAGAAGCACTTAATCTGAGAATTAGTAGAGCTGGGTTTAACACTGTTTTCTTAGGTAAAACAAATTTAGCCTCATTGAAACTTTTATATATTTCTTTGTGTGTTAAAAGCAATGGCTTGCAATAACATTCTTAAAGTTACGTTCGTTCCAGTTTGAAATTCTCTTTCATCTAATTGACCTTGTCAGGAAACATACCATTTTATGCTTTTCTTACATCTAGGGAACAAATTAGAATGCAAAAAGAATCAAGTTTAATTAGAGCAGTGCTTCCAACAGTGGAAATAGAATTTTTGAAACTTTATTATTTATTCATAGATGTTTTCACATTGAAAGGCAAATAGTGTCAGAAACATAAATATAAGCTCAGGAATCAAAGATCCAGATTCAGCCCTAGTATTCATATTTTATCTTGGTCTGTCAAAATCATTGAATTTGGTAGGCTTTTGTACTCTTTCTATACAGTGGTGAGATTTCTAATGTTTAACACAGTGTACAAATGAGGAAAAATATGGTTATGTGCTGACATAAATTAGTATATGTCAGTGGTAACTCTACTTCTGATTTCATGAGTATATGAAATATAAATAATCTACCTCTACAGCATTTTCTAGATTAAAGTTAATATTTCTGGCTTCAGAATTCCACGCAGTGATTTGCTTGTATCACTAGCAATACAGTGGAAATATTTGTCTCTGGAGATCCCCTTTGATGTCAGTTTTATCATATGTAAATAAAAGAAGAAATTATTATTAAGACTATTTCTGATCTAAATTCTCCAACATGAGAATGGTTTTCTCTAACTATGTACATATTTCAAAGCAACCACATATTCAACTTTATTTTAAAAGCATTTATCTGCTAACCCAGACTGTGTAGTTAGGGTGCCAGTCTTCTCTCTATTCAAGAAAGAATACCCAACACCAGTGACACAGTCCTGCTGATTTTTATGTGGCAGGGGTCTTTAGAAGTGTACCTCAACCAGAAGCCTAAACTGGAAAATTCCTCACCAAAAAAAAGTGGGTGGAAAGGAGTATCACAATGAAGAGGACTATGGATAATTTATTTTTTGTTATATTATCATTTGGAAAGTGGCTGACTTTGTCTCTGTTCACATAAATGCTACATATATCAAATGCTACATATATTGAAAAGACAGGGAACAACTAAGTGCCTAAGATCCAGTGTTTTGTGGGTTTGCTGAAGTGTTCACTGTGGTGTCTGAGTGGATTTGCCAACCTTTTGCCAAAGGTACATTCACATGTAGACATTTTATGTTTAAGCTGACAAGAATTCTGAGGACAAATATTTATACACCATAATCACTGTACAAGTCATCCAGTTATAGTCACTGGAAGCAAATAATATATTTTGTGTGTGTATGAAAAGCATTCCTCTTACATATTGCAGAAAAGTAGACTGTAAATTAAACAGATGAAAGCTTGCAATCTTTCTGTATATTTCCAATTAACTTCTGAGCCTCCATAAATCCTCAATTGAAAGCAACAAATCACTCTTACCAAAATATCATAATTTTCTTTGTGAAACAAATTGTCATTACCTTCTGACTCTTAATGTTGCTTTTTTCCCTCAATTAAAATATTTTAGGGGCTGGGGATGTAGCTCAGTGGCACACGTGCCCGCCTGAAAAGCACAATTTTAATTTCTATTCCCTGTACCAAAGAAAATAAAATTTAAAGATTATAATTTAATATTTTGATGATTCAATGAAGTTATATTATTAAATAATCATGTTTTTCTCTTAAACTAAACTCTTGAGTTTTTTTTAATATAATTCATGTGAAATAAAAACGTTCTAGAACTATTTCAGATTATTAAAATGGCAAAAAAAAAAAAAACCCACAGGTCATTTCTCTGTCCATGAAATAAAGAAAACTGAAGAACTGAACAACAATAAACTAACGTTTGCCCATGTAGAAAACATTGATGCTTTCATCTCTTCCAAATTATTTTCCTTTTTTTCAATTAGTGATTTAATTTAGTTCATCAACTGACTTTTTGTAGACAAAGATAAGGCAAATAATTTAAAGGAAACATTCTAGTCAGGTTTTGGGTCATTCCTGTAGCTAAAACCACCATACTTTCCCTTGAAAACATCAATTTATTAATCCACCTTTGCCCACTGTTGATATAAAGAAAGATTAAGGGCGAAAATGATCTCCTAAAGTTATGTAACAAACATTTTATTTTTTAGGCTACTTTTCAAAGGTGGTGACATTATACTAATAATTATTTCAATGGCATTATTAAAAGAAATCTTATTATACATTCATATTTCATAGCTTGAGTCAGGTTTTGCAGTTTCTGTTCCAGAATAAAGACATAGTGCTGAGAGAGAGAGTAAAACCACAAAAACAAATTGTATTTTTTTTAGTTGAAAACCAGTGTTTGACTTTTATTTCTCATTTCAAAAACACAAACTATAAAGGGAAAGTAGCATTCACCTGTACTTCCACTGCCGGAAGATCACAAGTGAAATTTCCACAAATAGTCACAGTCTCTCTTTCTTTGTTTTCAACTTTGTGCTGATTTCTAAAATGCTCATCTGGATCTGATACCTGTTTACCCTCTTTCACCCATGAATGTAACCCATTTAAACTGAGACACTTTCAACTGCTCACGATTGAAAATCCTGGTATGTGATCACCACAGGAGATGAATGGTTTCCAGACAAAGAAGAGATGAATCACGAGGAATTGTTGCTGGCTCTACTGAACAAAATTTTTGATTTCCAAAGGCCTTCCAAGAAGGGTGAGTTAAGAATAAAGTCAATTTTTTCTATTAAAAAAATAACAAGATTTAGACTATCTTTGGACTTGCTTTCTAAATGTTAATTTACATTAAATTAAATAGCATCAATTCCCTTGTATGCTACATTCAAGGCTTAAAGTTTGCTTTATATTTATAACTGAAACCCCTGGAGACATAAAAAATATGGGAAACTTATTTTGTTTGATTTGAAGGTCCTGATGGGACTGATCACCATCCAGTTAAAAAGAGTTACATTTATTCATGTTTTCATCTCATTGATAAAACTACACTGACACAGTATTTTCTCTTTTTAAATATTTCAAGGTTATTACATTGATAGACTTCCACTAGAAATTTCATAAAAGGTTCTGTGGTATTGAGTCTCCTGGCTTTTTTCAATGAAATTCTTCCAATTTGGGAAATGGCTGCTGTGGACTGAACTAGAAATTAAAGCTCCATCAAGTGAGATTGTTCTCATATGAAATACAGGGGAATCTGCTTGACAAATATGCATCAGACTTGTTCCGGGAAATTCAATATTTTGAGAGAAACTTAGCAAGCCTGACCTATGATAAAATGTGACAGTGTGAAAATGTGGTACCTTTCAAACAATATTTGAAGTATGTAAAGAAATATTTATATATACAAGCAAAATGTTAGTTTAAAAGAAAACTTTAAGATTGTGGAGATGTAGCTCAGTGGTATAGTGTTGCCTGTTATGTTGGGCTCCAGGTTTCATCCCTGGCACTAATAAATAAATAAATAATCTAGAAATACATGCATTTAAAATACTTTAAAATTAGAAGTAAGATATTTTCATTGAAGAAATAAATGAAACTATGAAAAGAAGAACTCATATCCAAATTTTTAAACTTGGAAACTTCACTTTAGCACTAACGTTTTGGAAAACTTTCCTTCTTATCCAATTATACATAAGATTTGTGTTGTGCCTTATTTCACTTCATATTGCTCCATAATCATTTGCTTGTATCATGAAAAACATGGTAGTTGATTTGTAAGTAACAGTCCATATCAGAACTATAGTCTATTTTTAAAAACATTATTGTTAGAAATAATCGTTTTCACGTGATATGGGTGAATTCATTTCAATATTATGGGCATTGAAAAGCATAATAAAGATTTTACATTAAAAATGTATGAATGGCCTCACATTGCATGAAAAATTTTCCTTTCAGATAAGATCCTGAATGAGTGTTCTGAAGTGAATTAAATATTACTTGCCATGTATGATTTTCATATGATAAATATTTCTTGCAGTTGTAGAAGTGGATCACAAATTAGAAGAATTTAACGAGGTAAGGTGTGAAATATTAAAATATTCAATTTTTATAAGAATTATATAGCAATTTTATTTTTACATTTTTTAAAGATTTGTTTGCTTTTGTGATGGACCTTCAACTCAGGGCCTCATGCTTGTCAGGTCGGCACTTTGCTTCTAAGCTATATCTCCGGCATGGTGGGTTTTTTTGTTTGTTTTTTCTAAATTATTAAGACTGTAATTTGAAACTTTTATTCCTGCTAGAGTAATTCACTAGGAATAAAAGCAGTTATACTAAAATAATACACAGAAAACAAAATGATGGCTGATGTGATCACGGAATAAAATGTACAGAAATCTGTATTGTAGTTGGCTCCCTAATTACCTAGGAGATCTTGGGCTGTGCAATAATTCTCTAGAAAGCTCATTCATAAAATGCGAAACTATTGATTGACGTTTTCTGAAGTTAGTATTTTTTTAAACAGCAGTAATATTTTCTCCCAAAACAAATATCACGCAGTTTCTGCAAACCAAATAGATGACTGAAGTTTCTCCTCCACTTTGAGCAGCTATATTTGAGGGGCTGCAGCTCTTTTTTGGCTAGGGAGTTCCCTTCAACCCCATCTTTTCTAGTCCTTCGTATGCTATGAAGAACATTTGAAAGTCACCATGATGCATCTACACTACTGCAAATACAATTGGGTGCTAGTCTATTATTCTTTAAATTGCATGGCCAATTCTTTTCAAGGCAAAAAAGATGTGGAGACATGCAAAGGTCCAGACTTAATGCATCTGTAATAAATTAGATCTTTGGGGTTTATGCACTGAGAGAACTAGTTAAAACTCAAAGTGGGTTGAATTCTGGGTGGAAACCTTTGGTCTCTAAAGTACTTGGCCATTCCTGCTCAAAAGGATTTCAAGAAATCCAAGCATTCACATATCTTGTTAGAGCTGCTTGAAAAGAACTTTTCATTAGAGGTGGCATAAAATCAAGTCGCTATTCAGGCTTCCTGTCACTTTACACCTCGAGGTGACTTGCTTTGCCAAAATCTGTTTCTTTCTGATCTCTGGTTGAGTCATGTATCTTTTCCAGCCAAGGTGTGCATGCAAACTTCTTGTTTGTTATTTATTCCTTTTTCTTTACTTTCTTTTATTCCTTTCTTTTATATTTCTCTCTTTTGGTTTTACTTTTCCTATATTCTTCTACAGAAAATAGCATGGTTAATATGAAAGATTAATTATCATTTTTAATCTTGAACAGATAGAAAAGCTAAAAAGACAACTCACAAATACAAAGCAGGCTGAGATATCCTATGCCATAAATGGTCTGTCTCTTCCCCATCCTAATAAACGAGGTAAGCTTTCATTTCAAGTTTCCAAAACTGACTTTGAAAAGATTCATTTTGCAGTTATTTCTGACCAGGAAGAGATTAGGTTGATTTTTTAGTCCAATGGTAATCATCAAGATCAAGGCTCACATTTAAAAATACAGATTCTAATGACATTGTTGCTATAGGCCTTTATGTGATGTTTGTCATGGTTGTCGTGTTCAGTTAAAAAAAATCACACTTTCCAAGCTTAAACAGTTTCTTATTGCTAGAACTTTGGCTTAAGTACTGATACCAATGGGATCAAAAGTGGAAGCAATCAAGCTTTTAAATCAATTCTGGCTTTCAGGATCTGTTCCTTGAGGGAAATCCTCACTGCTGTAAAACTAGTTATGAACTCAAAGTTTAATTCAAATTTTAATTCAAAACTCAATTTCAGGAAGACAATCCTTTTGCAGTTCTTAAACTTGGTTCAAGAAAACTTGGTTTGTTGACTTGGTTCTTACTTGTGAAAACATTTTATGTACCACATTTTTTTTTTATTTCTCAGGGATGTGAGATTCTTAAGTTGTATTTGTTTTTGCTTGTCACCCATCTCAGATTTCTCTTGAATTTTTGTAAAAACATAATTTTATAATAGTCAAGAGGAGGAAAGGTAAACTAATATTAAGAATTTAGCGTTTTCCAAACATTTCCTATTTTAATATCTCAGCATACAGTGGTTATGCTCAGAAAGTCTAGATCAAGATTGTCTTGACACTGACATTTTCTGATCATATGACCTTTAGTCAATTATTTACTTCCTTATGCCTTTTTTATTATCCCAAAATGCATGCAATTAAAGTAATTTTAATGGGATTGATAGTTTAATTTAAAACATTCCCTGCTATATTGTATCATCTAAGCTTAACTCCTTAAAATGACTTGGTGATTATTTATTCACTGTTATAGTTATGCTGTGACTATTTTCTAGATGGCAAATCTACATTTTAGAGAGATTACATTATATCATCCAAAGACTTAGCTAATGAGTCTAAAGGAGAAAGCTGTATAAAAGGAAGTAGGAGGTAGCAGGGAAGTAATTTTGAGCTTGATGAAAGATTTTAGTGGTTCATGTCCTTGGGAAACCACTGAAAGTTATACACAAATCAGTGATCATATAAAATAAATTTTAACAGAATCACTCGATTCTTTATGTAGAATACATTGCAAAAGATGGAAGCAGAGACTTTTAATGAGACTGTTTTAATGGTCTAGAAGATAAATGATGTTAGCTTATTGTAATAAGTTGAACAGGTTCTGATTCTGAGTATATTTTGAACAAAGTATCAATAAAATTTTCTGGAGAACCACATATATAGTTTAAAGGAAGTATCAAAAAACAACTCCACATTATGATTTGTTACTACTGATTTTAACCCAAATCTCAGAAGCTTAATGCAAAAAATCCAGTGGATGTAAACAGTAACTCTCTTAGTTACTTTTCTAGTTACTGGGACAAAATAACCAAAGCCCCAAATTAAGAGAGGAAGGGTTTATTTAGCTCACAGCTTTTATTTATTTATTTATTTATTTATTTTTGGTCTTTTTCCTTTTTATCGGTACCAGGGATCAAACTCACGACTGCCTGCTTACAAGGCAGACGCTTATGCCGCTGAGCTAAATCCCCAGCCCCACGCACAGATTTTAAGAGGTTTCAGTCTATAATTAATTGGCTCCGAGGCAGGGTGACTTGGCAGAGAATAATTCATGGTACCTATAAGACAGCAAAAGCAACCAGGGAGAGATAAGCCTCTTTTTGTCCCTTACATTGCATCCAATCTACTGGGATTAAGGTGGTGTCAATCCAATCAGTAGACTGACCCAGCAATCACTCACCCTTAACGCAGCACTGCACTCTGAATCAATCACACACTCTAGATTCAGCCACCTCTGAAAAAGCCCTATTGTAAGGGCACAATTATGGAAGAGTAAACTTACAGATATTGTATAGCAAAGCAAAAGATCAATTACTGACCGGTAACTATGATGCTGCTGCCTGTCACATAGTTAGCCTGCTAAATTGAGTCAGTCTTGACTGTATAGAGCTGCTCTGCTTTGTTAATGTGCTGGGTCAGTTTGACTCCATCCAGTTTGTGCTTTTCCTTGGTTAGAAGAATAGACATTGTTTCCAACGTGCTTTAAGGACTTCATGTTTGGGACAGACTGGCCCAGTCAAGGACACCTTTAAAGTTACTTGTTCCACTCACACCACCTTCCCTTGTCCCTAGGATGATCCTATATCATGGTAAACAATTCCTTTCAAGTATATCTATTTAGAACTAGCTTGTCTGATAATGTGTTACTTAATTCATGTAACCAGTCATGTGACAACCTGCCACCAGCCTTGTACTTCCAAATTGCAAATTGCATTTAAACTGAACTCTAAACTGACTCATCACTGGTGGTTTGGAACTGATTCCCATCAGCCTGCAGGCAGTTGGTCAATAAAAGTTGCTTTCTAGACTCCTCAGACAAAGTCTTCCATTCAGTTTGATAATGATTTCTCTGCAACATTATGACTGCATGAGACCTTGGGGAAATATCTAGACACAAACTGTAGCAGTAACTTTCTGTTTTGTAGCTATACTACCTAGAATGTTACTGTGTCTTCATTGCTTCCATGATTGCCAAGGCAGAGGAGAAGCCCAGATGACACTTTCCAGCTCCTAACTGCTTCAGTGAAGAAGTGATACACTTTGCTTCTACTAAAGTTCATTGTACAGAATTACTCAGTTGGGGGTCCAGTAATGTATTTGGCAAGATCAGGAATAAATATAAGGAAATTCTTGTATCATTTTGGGAGCACTACCTCTATCACAATCAATCCTTTGTTCTCCTAAAAACAGAGACCACCCTCATTCCATTCCAATTAAATATAATTTTAAATCCCTTTCACTGACAGCTGACACACAAAGAACAGGGTTTTTCCAAGATAGTTTTAACAGTCTTCATCAGATATAATTTGGCTACTCTTACAGATGATTTAGCTAAAAAGTCAAGCTATTCAGCCCACACAAATCCAACAGCTGGTAAAGGAACAGGGAAAAAGACAAAGTCAACTCCATTCACAATGGAGAACAGGAAACAAAACCAGGAATGGCAGCCTCTGTCAGTTCTGAAACCTTGCTGGGAAAAATACTGTGAATGCCTCCTTACACTGGGATTGGAGAAGATTTCTTGAATCAGACCGGAGAGTTTCTAGGATGATTTCTTTGCTGTTTTATTCTTTCTGAGGACTTGCTTTTCTGTCATTATCCTTGAACATATGTCCTACTTGGAAAAATATCCTTTCTTGTGAACTGAAAAAAATTTTTAGGTCTCTGAAACTTTGCAAATTTGGCAGTACAATTTTTAAATTTGTTTTAAAGTACTTATGGCCTTTTTTTTTTAATTCTAGGGTTCATGATTTCTTTGGTAGTAACAATTTTCAAAAATTTAGAAAGAATATCAGTTATTTTATGCACAAATATTTTCTTAAAAATCTTTTAATTATTTTGCATTCTAACCCTTTACTTAACAGCCATTACACTGAAGATATTTGTAACAGTCCCTAACGGGCAATGATTAGTCTGATTTTTTTCCCCTGAACTTTTTAATCCAAGTGGTATATCCTGAGCCTTTCTCTCTAAAAGTCATTTTAAAATTTAATTTCAGTGTTCAGGATCTGGAAATAGTTAACTCTTTTCAACATTTTGAGACATTTTGGAATTCTCTTTAGTCCTTTTTTTAGTTGTCTAAAAAAAGATACAAGTTCCTTCCTGGTCTTAGAAACTCTTGTTATTTTTGCTCAGTGTATCCAAAACAAAGCTATCTTCCAACATTTTCTTTTAGAAGTTCAAGAGACACACTACCTAAATTTTAAAGTGTTTCTTTCATATGCCAATTTTACTACATTTATTGCTATTCCATAATATGGCTCTTAAATTTTTCTAACTTATGATATTAGTTTCCCTGGTTTGCATTAATGAGTTGATAAGACTGTGTCAGAGTTAAATACCTCTTAGAGTAGAACCCAGTGTCAAATGCTACAGTGTTGTAAGTAAATTGAGATGTGCTTGGAAAATTGTTTTAGAGAAAATAACCATATAATTTCAGTGGTACAACATCCTATACATTTTATTTTGTGTTTACGCAGAGCTTTATGTATATTGGTCATTTTTATTCAGCTTTCTGCCTGCACTATAAAGAACACATGGTGTCTAATGTCACCACAGCAGCAGAAGAGGTAAATATTCTCTGACTGGTGGAGCTAGGTGCAGGAGCCATATCTAATGTGAGGAGGTTGGGGCTGTATGATAAATGTAGAGAGGCACATGTGATAGGGCTTCTTATACTGTGCACATTTTGGACTTACTATGCCATGTACTACATCACAGTACTGCTTGGTAGCTATTTGCATAGACAATATTAATTGGGAACTTAGGAAAACAATCCAGATCTGAGATAGAAATTTGATGTTTACCAGCATATCCACATTTAACATTGTTGTGAGTCCATCGAACAGTAACTCCAGGTATAGAGAAAATATATCCAAAGACTGGCTTTCAGGCCATTCTAGTTAGAGGCTGGGTAGATGAAAGATTAGCAGCAAAATGACTGAGGAAGAAGAGCCACCAAGGAAGGAGGCAACCAAGGACATAATATACAGAAGTTAAGTAAAAGAACTGCTTCCTGGAAGGAGCTTTGGACTTAGGCAACATCCAGTAAGATGACAGCTGAGATATTCAAATTGAATTCATCAATAAAATATCATTTGTTGGTGATGGTGGCACATGTTTGTAGTCCTGATTATTCAATCCCAGCTGTCTGAGAGGTTGAGGCAGCAGAGTTATGAGTTTAAGGCCAGTAACCGGTTAAAAAGACCTGGAGAACCAGGTCAGGACTATGGTACTTTTCCTGCATGTGTGAGCTTCTTGATTCATTCTTTAGTACCAGGAAGAAGAAAATAAGAGGGTCAGTTATTGCTTTGACAAGAATTGTTGATGAATATTTGGTTAAAGAGATCATGACTAAAGAATTGGAACCACTGATAGTAGACAACCTCTTTTTGTTCTAAAGGGTAGAAAGAAATTGGGACAAGAGTTAGAATGATTTAAGTGCTACAACAGTTTTTTTGTTTTTTTTTTTTTGGTAAGGAAAAACTGAAACATGTCCCTACATGTTATAATTAAATATATATTTATGGTGATGGTCACAGAATCTAGCCTGCATTTTGTGTGAAGTCAGTGCTGTTGGCATAAATAGGCATGCCCACCATAAACAACAATTAAGATGAGATGAGCCCAGAAATCCACTTTAAGGTATGAGAAATTTACATTTACTGTGAAATGCTATAATTTTCTTTAGTCATTTAATATATGGTGTAGTTGATAAATGCCTACAACCAACATAGCTGTCTAATATCTAGCATCATGCTATAGAGAGGAATGCAAGAGCAAATTAGACAGACATCAAGAGACACCAGCATACTGGCTGGAATTTCACTTTACGTAAATGATAAATGATATATGGGCACTGGGAAGTTGGCTCTTCTGGCAGTCTCATTTATAGCAGTTTCTTTCAACTGGGTCCAAAACATTCTCCAGACTACATTTCATTGCATACTTAATTGAGTTGCTCATGTGGAACAAGTCTTGGCTAAATGTAGGTTTATATTTTTCAGCCAGACAGAGACATTCAAAGGACAGAAAGGACAGTGATGGTAACTTTCCAAAGCATACTATATAAAGAAGATCATATTAGTGGGCCAAGGTCTTCAGTTCCACGTCTCAAAATAAACTTCTGCTTTCACAGGGTTTGAATGTGGTTTTCCTTAAGAGAATCTGTGGCTCTGGCAGAAAAGAGAAGTAGAAGCTGAGTGCTCTCATAATACTTTGTCTTGACAGTCATCGGCACATGGATTCCGGTTTGAAAAGTGCATCTAATGGGCAGGGAAGCTAGATGCGCAGACAGACTTGTAACATTTATTTTAACCACTGGCTGAACTATTTTATGAGGTTTTTGAAAACTCTTCTTCATTGTGCACCCTTCTAACCTATGGTGAATCAAAGCCTAATCTCCAATGGTCTTAGTTTTGTAAGCCATTAAGGGAGAAGGAGATTAAAGGCCATTTATAATGTTATATGAATTTATAGTAAGGCAATTGGTTGGGAATGGCCTGAAGAAGATTTATAATGATTTATTTATGCATCTGGAGATTGGAAAGGCACTAAATTTGGTTTATCTGTGGCATCATGTCACAATCAGAGTATGCAGACTTAATGTGATAAAGAATGGATCTAATTAAATATTTGGTGGTTTGTAAAATGAACTTTTACTTCCTCTTTTCTCAATAAATAGAAGCACATTTAGCCCCTACTTTACTTGTGTGACTTCCTCTTTGTGTAGCATAGAGTCTCACAGGCCAACCTGCTGTGGTGTCGACTGTGTGTTACAGGTGTTGTAACACTGCTGTCTAATAGAACCTCTGAGGCGGTACCATTTTCTAATAGTTCATCATAGTAGTCACGGGCTAGAAGTCATTAGTAATCATATGCGATATGGCCATTATGATGGAGAAGCTGACTGTTTTTATTTATTTAATTTTCATGATTCATGTAAAAGTAGTAGCTACTATATTGAATGCACATTTTTATAAAAGTCTCTTTAGTAGACTATTTCATTCAAATACAAGGTTTCATAAAATAGTTTTCTAATAAAGAATTTCTTTTGTTTGCTTTTTTAGCTTGCTTTTGGAAATACTGTGTCTAAAGCCTATTCTCTGGATTCAGAAAGATAAAAACACTATTAAGATATACTGATATATAATCTACTACTTACAAAGTATAACTCTATTAAGCATAAAGAAATTGTGGCATTTATTTTGCATACTATTTTCTTCTCTTTGCTAACTTGTTATAAATTGCATCATGAAATTCTTAAAAGAGAAATTCTTATGTTGTGAATAATGACAAATCAATTGTACTGTTGAAGACATGTCAGTATCAAAATGAATTTTGAGCTGAAGTTCAGAATGCTGTTATCTATTGTATGCTTTCCATAAATTCATTTCCCGTATACAGTTTTGTATTTTGATGACTATGCTGGTAAGCTATCAGTTAAAATATTTTAAGAGGTATCTCAGAAACCTACAATAAATTCTGTTGTCTCAATTTGTGTGGAAAATATGCATTTTTTTATTCCTCCTTTTAGTGATTGTGCTGGCCATCTACTCTGTTCTGTCAAGTTGGACAGCTGTCATTTAGGTAAATACAACAAAATGAATATATTACTAACAGGAAAAAATATATTGTTTATAAGACTCTGTGACAAAGTAGAATTCGGTGGCTTGGAAATAAGAGAGTGAAACACAAAACAATCTGTCTTTAGGTTTCTCAGTTCTCATGGCTGCCTTCTCCATGACATCTGAAACCTTTCAGATTTTCAGCATGTCTGCAAGAGGCTAGATGCTATGTGTAAAACACAAAAAACTCATTGGCTTTCTCTCTTTCAGCTTTTGAAAAGCTTCTTTAAACCACTCAGGGCTGGGAGTCTAACCTTAATTCTGTCTGCCACTCATGTTGACACAGAAAAATTATCAACATAAGTTTACAATTAAGCAATGATAGTGACTGGCAAGAAGTATGTCATGACTGAATAGATGAACAAACACACATTTTTAAACTTCATGCTATGAGGAAGAAATGCATGTTTATATATATAGTGTTAAATGTGTACTGCTTTAAAGATAAACCTTGTCATAATGTAGAATGAACAGTACTGCTTTAACTAAAATAAAAGATTAAAAAAACATAAAGCAGGCAGCTTGAGCACCTATCAAGAGCATGTAGAGTTACTCAAATTTACATTACTAAAAGTTGCACAGTAATGCCTGACAATGTTCTCATATATTTACAAAAGTTGAGCACACAAACACAAAGTTGTGATAGATAAAGGCGAAAGTGCCTGCTTTCAGCATCTCGTGTTTATTAACTCCGGAAAGGCTGAACAGTATTTATGTACCCTAAACCTAGACATAAAGCAGAATGCCACTTGAAAAGCTGTTGATATCCTTTCTTTTTTGGAAGATTTTATTATTTCAATAATTTAAGATACTTAATTCTCTGAAAGTATGTGTAAATTAAAGGTACAATTTGATAGACTTTGTACAGTATTAATTTAAGACTGTAGCCAGGAATGAAAGCCCTCTCATGAAGAGTTGGTTAGGTAATCAACACCAGAACTCAGAAATCCACGCTCTTCACATACTCACTTCCTCCATGAAGCTTAACAAAGAAAAAAAGGTAACCTGTCATTCTGAAACCTAACGAAGTTTTTCAAGTTAGGTAGCTTCTAAATGAAATATAGTTGGATTACAGACACACAGTGCACTGAACTAATAAATGAGACCAACCATCATGTTCTTAACAGAAACGATGTCTTAACTTACAATTATGGGAAAAAGACTTTACTTAAGTAGTATACTGTTGACTCATTTTCTATTCTGTATAAAGTGTTGGTAAAAACACAAACACAGAAGCTCTAAGTGGACAAAACAGATTTTTCTTTTCTTTGTGAAAGTCATGTCTATATATTAGGAAAAAAATGTATTACACATTAGAATAGAACAAACATCAAAACAATGCTGTCTCTTTAGGTAAAATGGCTATCTCAACCTTATTTTGAATAAAAAGGAATATAGAAAATCAATATATGAAATGCAGTTTCAAGTCACTTCCATAAAAGTTTTGTAGGTTACAGTAAACTAGATCAAAACACAAAGAAACACTGGGTTGGAGTAAAAGCTTACAAAAACTGATCTGGGAGTGAAAGATGAGAAACAGTTTCTGAGAAATACAAAACAGTTTCATATTCATCGAAAGTCTGCAGAAAAGTGCACAAAAAGATTTTTATTTCTAAAAGAATTTATCAACCTGCAAATCCTGCTGGATAGTTACCTAGGGTCAAGACTAGCTTTCTAATCCAAGCTTATGAAGAATGTGATAATTTAGTTTGTTCGAAATCATGTCTTTATTATAGTCTTCTACTGTAATTAAAATGTACATTCAGTTATTATTTTGTTTCCTAAACTGAAATTAGAGGATTTTTAGCAGCTTGAAAATTTTCAAAGAAACAAAGAAATTATATAGGAAACCACTATGTGTTCCAAGTACTCGTGTTCATTTATTTCACCTCTTTTTAGATCTTTTAAACTGGAGTCTTAAAAAAGCTTATTGAATAACTTAATGATTAATCTTTTATAAAAGTCCATTATTTAGTTAAATTCCATTCCAATGTATTTTTGTCACCATGATGGTTGGTTTGTTGAATTTTACACTGTTTAGATTATGAAGTGTGTGTTTCTCCTCTTTTAATATGAAGACATCTTCTTATAACATTCTTTTATGTTAAAAGAAACCATTACTTTTCTAGACCAAACTTCTTTCCTCCCCAACCCAGGTTTGTTTGGCAGTGACTACTAGTGTTTAAAGAAGAAGTATGTTCTAGGTGCCCTGTGAACTTCCATTAAATAATTGTGCTGAATCTCTGGTGCATGTGATAAGTTATATTTTGTGTTTCCAATGAATTTCTGATGCAAAATGGGCTTTGAGACTAGACTACACCAAACTCAGTTATTACTGACAATTTAGCTGTCTAAAAGAGCAAACTGTATGCTTTTGTAGTTTATTAAGTGCAGTATATGGAACATTAAATAATTTTTTAAAAGAACTAGTAACTTCAACAAGGTTGCATTTTACCTAAATGGATTGTATTAGTTTAAATGGATCTTGCTAAAATGATGTATACTTTTCTGGCCCCAGACTATTGTGGAAATGTACTAATTTATAATTCTTTAACTTTGCCTCTACTTTCATCACTACTTCTGTAAAGCTGATTCATTCATAATGAACCGTTACTGTGCTTAATTAAATGTTTGTTAAAGTTCAGAGAAATTGCATGAGATAAGAGATTTTGAAGTTTGATAAGTAATATCCTTCACTTTTGTAATTCTGACTCACTGGAGCATCACAGCTAAGTAGAGTTATGTTTTATTTGGTTAAACTTCACTGAAATTTGAGTGTGATAAGAAAAATCTAATTTCATTATTACTAGCCAGCAGATTTTCAGATAAAGAAAAAGAGGTAAAAGGACTCAAGAGAAAATACACTGTCTTGTCTTTCCTTATTCCTAAGTAATAAACAAATAGCTTGTAGCTAATTTTTCAGAAACAACTTTTTAGTATTGTTTAACCATAAATAAAAAAGAATGGTAAATATATAGAGAAGGCACTTTATTGTATATTTTGACCGTTATTTTTAAAAGTATGATTTAGGGGGCAGGTAACCATTTCTGAATAATTAAATATATATTTTTAAAATATACATACATTGAAACGATCACCACAATTTAATAAAACTGAAACAATAGTATGATGTGAAGGACTGAAGTTCAAGTTTTAGAAGGATCTGCAGAAATCAGTTCATTAAAAATTCAGTTATGAAAGAGTATGAAGAACTTCATTGAAGCATCTTCTGTTTTCAGTGATATTTCACAGAAGGAGTCTGCATCTACAAAATGAAAAGCGAAGTTGTTAAAACTCATAGGCAGGCTGTGGAACAGTGAAAATACATTTTGCTTTAATAGAAAGCAGCTAAATCTAATTACAGGATGCTTCATTATAGCTTTTATTTGCATTGCATGTTTCTATTTTAAAGATGGTAAAACAGTTTGAAATCAAAATGTATTAAAGTGAGCATTTTAATGTATCAGGTGCTTATAGTCATTTTAATAAAACTTATAAAATGTCTCTGTTACAGCTCCTTTCTTCAGACATCTACTGTCTATTTCTTTCTTGAGTCTTTAATTTTTTTTTTTTTTTTTTTTTTTGGTCTTTTTCGTTTTTATGGATACCAGGGATTGAACTCACGACTGCCTGCTTGCAAGGCAGGTGCTTATGCTGCTGAGCTAAATCCCCAGCTCCAAGTCTTTAGTCTTGATTCAAAAGACATTGTTGGCAGGGTGATATAGCTCTGTAGCACAGTCCCTGCCTGGCAAGCATGAGGTCCTGAGTTTGATTCTCGATGTTAATCAATCAATAAATAAAGAGCAAAATGTATTGTGATGACAAAAAAGGCATATAAAAAAGCAAGCTATAATGTTCTGTGTTGTTAAGGTAGCACACTGATAAATATGTATTTTGCTCATGTTCAGTAGATCTCATAATATACTGGCATTTTCAAATAATATTCCTGCTATAACTGAGAATTTAAATGATGGTATATTAATATTTCTCTTTGATAAAATTGCCAGCATAAAAAAATTAACTTGTATTTCATATTATTAAAAGAATGGTAGACACTGCTGGGTTGACCTGAGTGTCTCAGTGTCTCCAGCCAGCCGCCCACGACCCCACCCTGTGGAGGAAGAACAATAAGCTCTACCCCTGATTGGCTGCTGGGCTTGCTGGCACCCTTCAGTGCACCCCCACTGCCGCTGCTGCGCGGTGGAAGGCGCTGTGCTGAGGAGGCCGCCAAGCTCTGCCTGGGCTCATGTCTGCCTAAGTGCCTCAGCATCCCAGGCCACCACCCGTTGTCCTGCTGCATGGAGGAAAAACACCAAGCTCAGCCCCAGCTCAAGCAGCTGTGCCGGACTTGGACTTGCCCACATCCGTGCCCTCCCACTGCCATGGCACAGGGGACAACCACCATGCTCCTTCCTGGCTCAGGCTGTTGAGCTGTGCCTTTCACCCAGCACACTCCTGCCGGGTGCTGACCCATAGAACCACCACACTCACCCTGGCTCAACCTGCTGCCCTCAGCTACCCTCTCCAACTCTTAGACTAAGCACGGCTGTGAACACTGGCTCCCACTCTCCCTCCCAAAACCTTGAACTGCAGTGGACTGGCAGTGCTGATTTAACTGGAGGCTCGGTGCCCCCCTTGCCAAGATCCTGGTAGGTACTGGACAATATGTACCCAACAATCGGGCTGACATCAAACACACAGTAGGACCCTGGGACATACATGGTCCACAGTTTTGACTATTGGGATTAAATAACCGGATATTGGCCTGGAAGGTGAAAATGACAAAATGAAAAACTAAAATGCAAACTCAAACATCTAGTCCATCAGGGACAAGAACAGGTGACAGTGAAATGGAGGACTTTAAATATCTGTCATGGTTTATGTTTGTGGTCCCCAGGCCTCATGCATTTGCATTGTGCATTTGTGATTGGTTCATTGTCTACTCCTTGGGTTGATGGTGTCAGTGCTACGCTTACCTAGGGATGGAGTCAGCATACAATGTAATGGCAGGAAGAAGGTGTGTCACTCCCTCTTGCCAGTTTCCACCTTGCTGTTTGCAGCTGCCATGACCTGTGGCACTGCTGTGCCATCCTGCCTTGGAGCCAACTGAGTATGGACTAAAACCTCTAAAAACTGTAAGAAATAAACCTTTCCTTTCCCAGCTTTGGACATCAGGTATTTTGTCTCAATTACAAGTAAAAAGTAACTAAGACAAAGTCACACACCAGAAATCTCTGAAAAGATACCCAACGAAGTAAAGAAACAAATCCATGAAACTATAGTGTAAATCAAATTAGAAATACTGTCTTATGTAAAGATAGAAATAACAAAGTTAGTGAAAGATTTGCTCAACATAGCTAGGGAATAAATAGATAAAAAATACAGGGGCACAGGAAATTGATTGAAACTTTGAATGAACAATTTAGAAAACAAACAAAATCCATGAAACAAATTCAAAGAGATATCCAAGAAACAAAAAATTCTATTGAAAGCTGCCAAAATCGTTTAAATGAAGCTGAGGACAGAATTTCAGACCTTGAGGACAGGATCGCAGATAGCGACCATGAAAAGATAGAACTTCTAGAAACAACAAAGTAGCATGAAATGACAATCCAGTAGCCCCAAGAGAAACAATGTAAGACTAATAAAGATCATCAAGGAGGCAGAAGATAATGCAAAAGACATAACCAAGCTGTTTACAGAAGTAATAGAAGAAAATTTCCCAAATATGGGGAAAAATCTGATATACAAATAAGTGAGGCATATAGAATGCCAAACATAACCAATACAGATCTATACCCAGACATATAATAGTTAAGATCCCAGATATATGGCATAAAAACAGAATACTAAAAGTTAGACACAAGTCACCTATCAAGGAAAGCCAGTTAGAATCATGACAGATTTCTCAGCACAAACCTTCAGATTAAGACAAGCTTGGAGTGAAGTATTTCAAGCCCTAAAAGAAAACAACTTTCAACCCAGACTGCTGTACCCAACAGAACTATCTTTTAAAGTTAATGGAGAAACAAGATACTTTCATGACAAACAACAACTGAAGAAATTTATGTCCACCAAACCAACCCTAAAAAAAATATTGAAAGACATACTAGAAAGAGATAAAAATGAACACAATCTTCAGAACAACAACAGAAGGAAATCACCAGACTGGACAAGAAATTAAACAAGGAAGAAAAGCAGGAAACCAACAACAGGAACATAATATTGCAAAGTCAAGCCAGTACATATCAGTGATATCCATAAATGTAAATGGACTCAATTCACCTGTCAAAAGAAGCAAGTTGACAGAATGGATCAAGAAACAGAATCCAACTATATGCTATATACAAGAAACACATCTGACTCAAAAAGAAACTCATAGACTAAAAGTCAAAGGATGGAAAACAGTATTCCATGCAACAGGACCCCAGAGAAAATCAGGGGTATCTATTATGTTTGCAGACAAAGTGAACTTCAAACCTAAAATGATTAAAAGAGATATAGAAGGCCACTACATACTTGTAAGTGGAAAACTTATAGAAGAAGAACTAACAATTATAAATATATATGCACCAAATACAGGAGCACCCAACTATGTAAGACAAATACTAATGGATATGAAAAACCAAGTACACAAGAATACAATTGTAATAGGAGACCTTAACACCCCACTGTCACAAAGAGATAGATCAACTAGACAAAAAGTCAGCAAAGAAATAACAGAACTGAATCACACCTGTGAACGAATGAATTTAGTGGATGTTTACAGAGTGTTCCACCCAATCACATCAGAATATACATTCTTCTCAGCTGCACATGTGACAGTCTCCAAAATAGACCATATATTAACTCTTAGGTAAGTGCAAAGGGAGTGGAGTATTTCCACTTATTCCATGCATAATGCTGGATCATAGTACACTAAAATTGGAAATCAATTGCAAAAACCCCTGAAAAACTTACATAAATACATAAAAACCTTCTGAATAACCAGTGCGTGACAGATGAAATTAAAGAAGAAATAAAGCAATACCTACTATACAATGAAAATGCAGACACAACATACTGTAACCTATGGGATGCAATGAAAGCAGTCCTAAGAGGAAAATATATTGCAATAAATAGTCACATCAAGAAAACGGAACAAGCACAAATAAATAACCTAATGCTACATCTCAAACTCCTAGAAAAGGAAGAGCAACTCAAACCCAAAGCTCATAGAAGAGAGGAAATTATAAAGATTAGAGCAGAAATTAATGCAATTGAAACAAAAAATACAAAGAATTGATGAATCAAAGAGCTGGTTTTTTGAGAGGAAAAACAAAATTGATAAACCTCTAACCAATCTTTTCAAGGAAAAGAAAGAAAAAAACCTCAAATCCATGCAATAATGACTGAAAAGAGGGAAATTACTACAGTTCCCATGGAAATTCAAAAGATCATGAACATGTACTTTGAAAATTTCTACTCATATAAGGTGGAAAACACAGAGGAAATGGACAGATTTCTAGAAACATGAAATATTAAAGCTCAGTCAAGAAGATGTAACAATCTTGAATAACCCAATGTCAGCTACTGAAATTGAAAACATGATTGATTAAAAACTTACCAACAAAGAAAAGCCCAGGTCCTGAATTCGACAAGAAATTTAGAGAAGATTTAATGCCAACACTCCTTAAACTCTTCTGTGAAATTGAAAGAAAAGAAGTCCTCCCTAAGTCATTCGTGGAGGCGAGTATTACCCTGATACCAAAAGCAGAGAAAGACCCAACCAAAAAGGAGAACTGCAGACCAGTCTCACTAATGAACATCGATGCAAAGATTCTCAATAAAATACTGGCATATAGAATGCAGCAAAATTATCAAGGAGATAATGCATCATGACCAAGTGGGATTTATTCTAGGAATGCAGGGATTGTTCAACATACACAAATAAATAAATAATACATCACATCAACAGAGCCAAGAATAAAAATCACATGATCATCTCAATAGATGTGGAAAAAGCTTTTGATAAAGTCTAATACCTGTTCATGATAAAAACCCTACAAAAACTAGGAATAGATGGTATATACTTCAATCTCTAAAGGCCATTTATGACAACAGCCAACATTATACTAAATGAACAAAAACTGAAAGCCTTCACTCTAAAATCAGGAACAAGACAAGGATGTCCATTATCACCACTCCTATTCAATATAGTTCTGGAAATATCAGCTTAGAGCAATCAGACAAAAGGCAGAAATAAAAGGAATAAGAATAGAAGAA